AAAGGCCTGGAGTGAATAATTAGTAGTAGTAACTTAGACGATTTGGCAGCATACAATTGACGTACAACTGATTCGGTGAGACAATTTAGCGATCCAGATCTTATTTCAGATCTGACTGGCGTAAATATAACATTGTTTCATGAAGATTCTAATATGATACTTTTTCTATTTTGAAATAATTGTTTACTTTGAACCTTCATATTTCTTATAAATTATACTAAAAATAAAAATATAAATAGAATAATTATCTTGGAACAAAGAGAATAAATTAGGGCAGTATAGCATCTAAGGGGGTGAGGGGGGGGGGGTATATATGATGGATAGCAATACTTTGGTACGGTTTCCCAAACCAGTCACGGGGATCAGCTTTTTTGTCCAAGTTTGAAGTAGTAGCTAGCTTGTTGTATCCATGTATCAAACAAATAGTTTGGTTGGTGATTGTAATAAGTCAATAAGGAAGAGAGGATCGACAGTACAACCTACAACTTTGATCAATTCACCTTTAATTAGCTTTCGCTCATTGTTTCTACGTTTAGGTCCACAGCATAATAGTTTAATCTTGAAATACGGATCACATAGTTGCAAGAGTTACGTTTATCTGAATGGTTAAAGCATGCAAATCAAAAGGATAAACGACTTCACACTGCACTCATACTAATTTCTAGTAATCAAGTTCGGTAGCTCCCTCTCAAGAGCTAATAAACCATCCAAACATAGGGTTGTTCGGCCAAAAAAATTTAAAAGAAATGATGTGAACAAAAAAAAATTACTTTAATTTTGGGGGACATAAGTAGTTGTCTCGTATTTAGTAAATCCGAGAGTCTAATTAATCGGACTTTTCGGATTTGGCTAATCCAAAACAATAAAAAATAATAAAATATTAATTTTTTTATTATTTTGAAAAAAAAGAACCGAGGTCAAAATGTGTACAGTAAAATCAGATTTCCGAAAAATCCGAGAGCTTCTCTAACATAATTTTTTTTAAAAAAAAATGAAGGGCCGGAAAATTTAAAATTTTATTTATGGTGAGAAAGTTTGAAAATTTAATAAATGAACAGTGAAATCGGATTTGGAAATCCGAAAAACCTTTTTCAAAAAAATCTTTTAGAGCAAAAATTTTTGAAAATTTGAGTTTTGATAGAAATTCGCATTAAATTGACATATCCACTTTAATAAAAAATCTTTAATTACTAATAATTACTAGGTATTTACATTAAATTGATGAAAAATATATATTACTAATGTTACGTAGTATTATTAAATCTGATAGGAATTTGAATTAAATTAATTCAGCATAATTGATGAAAAATATATATTACTACTGTTACGTAGTATTATGTACTATCTGTACGTACGAGTATTATGTAGTATATTAATACTATTACCTACTATACATCATTGGTACTAGTGTTACTTATTACTGTTAAATCTGTTAGTCATTAAATATTATCATTAATACAGTATAATTCATATGTACGAGTGTTATGTACTTTTTATACGTACTAGTATTATTAGTACATTAATAACTATTACCCACTATAAATTATTGTTACTAGCGTAACTTATTACTGCTAAATCTGTTAGTCATTAGATATTATCATTAATTTAGTATAATTCATATGTACTACTGTTATGTACTTTTTATACGTACTAGTATTATGTAGTATATTAATACTATTACCCACTATACATCACTGGTACTACTGTTACTTATTACTGTTAAATCTATTAGTCATTAGATATTATCATTAATACAATACAATTCATCTACACTAGTGTTACGTACTATTTATACGTACTTGTATTACGTAGTACATTAATACTATTACCCGCTATACATCACCGGTACTAGTGTTACTTATTACTGTTAAATATGTTAATCATTAGATATTATTATTAATTCTGTATAATTCATCTGTACTAGTGTTATGTACTTTTTAAGCAAATAATCAAATTTTTAGAATTAGAGTGATGGGTGTCAAGCCAACAAACAATTTCACCTACTTTCAAACTAGTAGCATAGGAAAGCAAGGTCGTCTCCTCAGGGAATGGTGGATTTGTTTCTTTCAAATAAGTAACCGAAAGGGGGGTTTTGAGTTTTTAAAACTAAAATGTAGTTAAAATAAAATTCAAATGATAGTTAAAAAAAAATGAAAGCAAATTATGAGAAAGTTTCTAGTCAAAAGATTTTATATCCACCTTGGTCTAGACAATTGATCATAGATGCAATGATGCTCAATCACTTATAGGCAAATTAGTTTTCGTTGTTGGAACCTCCAAACAACTCAATCTTGAACTAAGTTTAGTGATTAAGAAAACCTTCATTAAACACACTAGTCAAAATTCAATCCTGGAACCTCCTAAGATTAAGAAAACGACTGCATTAAGTACAAAGACCTAATTCTGGTCCCTATAAAACAAACCTTGTTTAATAAAAAACCAGATTACTTGTTCTTATAACAAAATCACTTACCAAGTAATTTAATTATATCAGTCCCTTTTAAAACAACAAACCTTGCTGCCTTATTGGTTGTTAACTAACATGAAATAATGAATGCTACCAGCTATTCCACAATAATCATATCAATCATGCAATAGAACAAGCAAATACTCACAAGAAATTGAGAGAGAAACAACATTTAGATCTCACAACTATTCAAACCAAGGCTTCAATATCTTTCAACTAGAAAAATAATTTAATTACACATAATAAAGCCTTACTGAAACAAAACTATGGAGAATGAGGAAGAATAACGTCCAAAAGGGCTAGATAGGCGGCTTAGGATCACTCCAGCCTCCTCTTCTTCTCTCACGTTCAGCCCCCCCTCCCCAAAAGAAAGAATAAAATCAATTTATATGCTAAAAATTAGGTCAGCCGCCAGCAGCTTTCAGAATTTCGCCACTGCAAATTAAATATTCCGATATTTGCATAATGGTCCCTCAAGTTTGGTAAAATTACATTTTGATCCCAAAACTTCTTTACTTTTTCAGTTTAGTCCCTGTTTGGGTTTGGCCAAACGGGAATGCAGCATCAATGCTGGAATTTCTTCTCTAAAGCTCAATTTTGGACCGAGATTCGTGTGCCCACACGAGAATGTGATGTCATTGTTCTCTTTTTGTGCTTCCTTGTCAAAATGCTCCAAAAATGTGTATTTGTGAAACATTTTTCTCAATCTCAGCTCCAATCACTCCTAAGAACCAAAAACATCAAAATACACAACATAAGTGCACAATCTAATCCAAAATGCTATACAAATACCCATAAATAACATGAAACTTCAAGACCTATAGAAATCCCCCACACTTAGATTTTGCTTGTCCTCAAGCAAACACAACTCAAAGTAAACATGATAGTACCCTTTTTTACAGACTCTAACTACCAAAAGCATCAAAGAGAATTGTCAAAACTTGTCTCAGATTCTAGTCTCATTAGAGACAAATAATATACACCACGGTTCAGTACCCCTTGATCAAGTCAGAAACTCACTTCCGTGAGTGTGTGAAACAGACCACAAAACAAAGTGTTGCTTAACCTAAGATTAGATTCAATTACTTTCAAGTGGACATTCTTGTGATCAGTACCTATTTCCTTCTTGCCTTCAACTAGGGTATTCTTACTGAGGTTCCGATCTAAGGGCTTCCTCTCATTTTCTGCAAGCATCATTGGCTGCATCTTTCACCCTTGTACCTTTTCATCCATTTGTCCAAATTGGCTTTTCTTCTGGATCTTTCCCACTCAGGCCTATACCAAGCACATATTTCAGCAACTATGGTAATCTAAGCATTTTCTATTTAAACTCACCAGGCCTGAGGACACTCCTCTCTTTGGTGCCATACCTCACCTCTCAAGGGATTAAATGCCACATTGGACACTCTGCCTATACTCCCTCATTAGATAAAGCTTTTAACCTCATATTCAACCGCCAACTTTCCCCTTTTTTCCAAGGTATTTAGGCTAATACAAACCACTATGGGCTCGATTCAAGGCTGCCATAATGCGTAGGGTTGCCTTAGTCTAATTCCCAGATTCACAGTCCCCCCAGGTTTCAGACAAGTGGACTCCAGTATAAGATCACAACAATGCATTAATGCATTCAAGATTTTAAAAGTTTAAGCCCAAAGCAAACACATTGTCAAGTGGAATGTTTTGCATGAAGATGTGGTCATGAGTTTCTAACATGCTTAAGAGTGATCCTGAACAGGTATTTTTAAAATCTTATGTAACCCTCAAAATTGAATCGTCATAGCTTAAACTCGGATTTCGAAAATTTAAGTTTAGCTTAAACTCGGATTTCTAAAATCTGTCTTTTAGGGTTTAGGGTTTAGTTACGGATTTTCCAAATCCGATTTTAGTTTAAACTCGAATTTTAACTAAAAATTGGGTTTTCAATATCCGATTTAGTTCAAAACGTTGGATTTTAGGGTTTAGGGTTTAGTTCAATGTGCCTTGTCTGCGTGAACGCAAATCCCAAAATTGCTGTTTTCTAAACAACTCAAATTTATCAAATCTGAGAGTAAGTACAGATGGACTCAGATTACCGAAATCCAAGTCTCTTCCTTTTTATTTTTAGCAACTAGATTTTTTTTCCAAAACTTAAAATAACTTTTTATTATAAATTTTCAGATTTCCGAAATCCGAATTTTCATGTTTCGGATTAGGCTAATCCGTTTCTAGTCAATTTTTATTTTCGAACACTTAGATTATTTTTCTAAAAAATAAATATTTTTTTATTGCCGACTTTCGAATTTGCGAAATCCGACTCTTGATTAGTTTAAATTAATCTTTTGATTTAATGTAAGTAATTTTAAGTTACTAAAGTCTCGGATTACACTAATCCGAATTTCAGTGGTCTTGAATTTGCGAAATCCGACTGTACGGTACTCTCGAATTTGGTAAATCCGAGAGAACTGGTATTGTCTACTTAATTTAGATCCATATTATTTTTGTCCAGGGTCTTTTTTAAATAATTTTTTGGGTAAAAACCTCTCCAAACATTAGGCTAAATCTTAAGATCATCCCTTGTTATTTCAAGCTAACCAATATACATAAAGTTTTCTCCAAAAAAAAAAAAAAACATGTATCTTTACATAAAGTTGAAATATATCTTAAGTTCGATGAGTAGATTCTTTTAAACACTTGAAGAAAGCAAATAGGTCTAATTCATGCAAGGTTTTCAGGACCTTAAAACTCAAACAGCATCAAAGTCTATACCAAAGATATTGGCAAGACATTAACAAAAGGATAAAGTAGAAGGTAACATAAATTAATTGGAAGAACTTCCGTTTCAATCATCAACGTGCAAGAGTTACAACTGCATGGAGAGGAACCTTCTTATGAACAGCAATGCCGTTTACTTCTGACATGTCCAAATCTTCCGGCGTGATACCAGTGGGCAACGAAAAGTCGAATTCATGCACAAGTTTGGCCAATGCAAGTTCGTTAGTAGCCATAGCAGAATTAATTCCAGGACAACCTCTTCTTCCCGCTCCAAAAGGGATCAATTCAAAATTAAACCCCCGAAAATCAATCTTCGAATTCAAGAACCTCTCTGGCCGAAATTCCTCAGGATACTCCCACAAGTTTGGGTCTCTTTGGATTGCCCAAATATTCACTATGACTTGTGTGCCTGCAGGAATGTCATAGCCCAATAGTTTTACATGTTCGATTGATTGTCGAACAAGTAAGGTAACCGGAGGATGAAGTCGTAAAGTTTCCTTTATCACTGCCTTTAGATAGGGCATTTTGTCTAGATCTTCCTCCGTGATGTCGGGTTTTCCTCGAGAAATGTTTCTAACCTCAGTTTGCAAAGTTTCTAGGATTTTGGGGTGCTTTAAAAGTTCTGCCATCATCCACTCCAAGAGTGCCAGTGTTGTATCAGTTCCACCAGCAAACATGTCCTAATCAGTAGTAGAAGGATATAAGGTTAATATATAAGAAAATGAATTATGAAAATTCTATTTCTTTAGATGTAGTTATACATTATTAATAATTATACTACTTTTTAGAAGTGATTGTTCAATCTACATTAATAACAAGAGATATGTATAATGGGAAGTGTAGTACCCACCAAGATGAGAGCTTTCACAGAATCTCGCTCGATACGAAATCCAGTCAGGTTTTCCCTTTGAGTTTCAAGCAAAATATCCACAAAATCCGAATCTCTTTTCTGATCACAACTTGTAGCCTTGTTCTCATGCTCTTCAATCACCCCTTCTATAAAAGTATCGATGGATTTAATGATTCTGTCAACTTTAGCATTCAAGCCATTCAAACGATTAATCCATGATAACCAAGGAATGAAAAATCCTATATCAAAATCCCCCAATATTTGTATAAATTCCTTCAAGATAATCTTAGCCTTCTTTCCACTTTCCTCATCTCCAAATTTCCTCCCTAAAGCAACCCTACACACTATATCATTTGTAAGAGTAGCCAACATTTCACTCAGATTTATCAGCTTGCTTGATGATGAATTATCATTAGGATCATCATGACAGCTTTGCTTTATCTTTTCTATCATCAACGCGATTTCTTCTTCCCTGACACTTCGGAATGACTGAACCCTTTGATTGCTAAGAAGTTGAAGAACACATATGCTCCTCATTTGCCTCCAGTACTCGCCGTAGTGCGTAAAGGCGACGTCCTTTGAGTTGTAGAACAGTTTCTGAGCTATTGTTTTTGGTCTATCTGCGAGAATCGCATCGTGGGTTTTCATGATCTCGGAAGCTGCTTCAGCGGAAGAGGCCACCACAACTGGTTTGCTACCAAAGTGAAGCAACATAAGATGAGGACCATATTTTTGGGAAAATGATTGTAGAGAACGGTGGGGAAACGAGCCAAGTTGAAGGAGATTTCCGATAATTGGGAACTTCGGAGGAGAGGGTAAAAGCTTATCTTGGTGTTTCGATGATGAAGGGAAAAAGAACCATGTAATCAAGAAAATTAGGAAGAAAAGAGGAGAGAGTAGAGGGTACTCCCAATTTAGCCCCATTTTCTAGTTTGGAACTGTAGAGAAAGAAGTCTTAGTAATCAATGATAAGAAAGCTAATGATCTTGATGATGCATATTGCATGCTCCTATTTATGGGCAGCATTTACTTAGTAGGTAATTTTAAAAAACTACATTTTTGCCTTGCTATTTTAATTAACTAATCAAAGACTTGATTAAAGCTACTGAATCTGAATGTAGGAGTTTAACTCAATATTGTTGATGAAGAAACAAAATGCCACCATTTCTTATTTGTATATAACAGCAGTTAATTTTATTCAAAACACTCCGTTTCGAGAGATATTGCTCTTCTAAGTAACAAAACTGCATTCCCATGTCAAGATTTGGATCCTAATCAGGTTTAATTGGTTATGTTGGTCGAACATCGTTATTGTCGGGATCAAATGTATGTTTGTTATCTGTAACTCCCTTTGTCCAAAAATAACTGTCCAAATGTATATATTTATTTTCAGTACAATGTGTAGAAAAGTGAACAATCATTTCGGGACGGAGGAAGTATTTGAAATATTTTTTTTCTTTGGTTAATCAGCTAATCGTAGTATTTCTAGAAGTTTATCTTTCAGAGTGCTGGAGGTGTAGATTCGAAACATAAGACAGTTTGATGATTGACGAATTTTGATTCTTTTCGAAATGGAATATTCACATCTTCTGCGGAAGATAATTCCAAATTGTTTGATGAACTGGTTTTGTCGTTCTCCGGATTGAATATATGCTCCGCCCGGATTCGCATCTTGTGGGACGATAATTCCATATGTATAAGTCATAGTTGCTTTGAATCTTATGTGTTACCTAATACCTACTACGATGTGATCTTATAGTATCATTAATTATCTTGCATTGCCTTACAATTTGCGAATATTGTAATGTATTTTGTTTTGCCTTCTTTGTTATTTTTCACCCAGGTACGCCAACTTTAATTTTTTCAATTCTATCCAACAGCGATAAGGAAATCTTGTTTACCCGTTTTTAGTAACCCGGAAACTTAATTAGAGATTGATAAAAATCCACACTCGTTGCCATACTAAATCAGAAGTTTATGTATATGTTTCTCTTAATAGATTCAGAGATGTCGTCTATGAACAAAAATAGAACCAACCTTCAGTTAAAATTTTTATGTGAAAAAAGTATTTAAAATTTTTTCAGCCACCCTGTTTAAAGCGAAATATTCAGTTATCTTTGTCAACTACCAATCCAATATTTCTGTAATGGTTATTAAAAAAAAAAGTAAATAATCTGAGGATATGAAGATTTGTCCAAGAAATGAGAAAATATGATTCTTAATTTTATATTGTTTCACTTTTTTGTATGATTGATCCAATTGAGATTGAAATAACTTCATATGAAAAAAACAGGTGAAGGATTTATCTTTTTTCTTCTTTTTCTTTGTATAAGTAAAAGTTGGGGCAACAACGTCACGGGAATGTTGTTTTTCTTTTGTGGTTTTTGAAAAAAACTTTAGTGCCCTTTACAAACATTATTCCCCTTTTATTAATTTCATCCTCTCTGTTGCCACTTATTCAAATTTTATACTTTTTTTTTTTAATACAACTCATGTTGAAATGGAATAATGACTAATGAAAAGGCGAAAAAATCACACTACTCTCTCAATAACTACCAATATAATATGAAGTTGTTATCTATTTACACATGTATCATATCAGTCATTATTCTATTTCACTATATATATTTACTATATGCATCATTTTTCTTTTTCCAACTAAAGACAGAAATAGGGACTAAGAAGAGAAAGAGGGAGAATATGAGGGAAATTTACAGAGAAATTAGATCCATCAATATTAAATTATATGAGCAAACTAGGATCAATGCCCTTAACACGCCAACCACACGGCTTTTAATCGGGCTAACCCTACTCTTATAATTAATAACTCTTACCCCTTCTAAAATTCTGAGCTTTTATCTCCTATAGATACCTCTCTAAAACTCTGAGCATGAAAGTTCGTGCTTTATTATTTTATTTATATTTATATTTTACCATCTCATATGAATAATTTTACTTTATAAAAGTGGCTCAAATCGGGGACATAGCAATTTCTCTATATATTTACTAGCGGTAACATGTGCGTTGCATGGGAATTATGTAAAAAATATATGTTAAAATCTTTTTTGTAAGATAAAAATCACTGGTTTGGTTATAAATTTTTTTTTACAAAAAAATGGTTGTTTTTAAAAACTTTTGGAAAAATAGGTTGATGGCAAACATCAAAATTCTGACACCTTCCTTAATCATAAAGATTAAATTTCATGATATACTCTTCAACAATTACGATGTGAACTTTTGCACTATGAATGAGATTGATGCTACGAATAAATTCCAAAAACCTCTCACCATAAAACTATCCTAGGCTCTTAGGGGTGATACGAAAATTAACATATACATCTCCAAAATCAGTGCGCAGATAGACATAAACTCGTGGATTTTCTCTAAATAACGATGGCAGAAGACTCGAAAGTGTCTGTAAAAATAAAAAATTATAAATAAGTGATTCTTCAATCCAGTGTAACATTCAAAAAAAAAACTATGGCCTAGACTATTACCAAACAATTATCGGTAATATTTTCTGGCACAATGCACATATACTCCATATTCATTGAGAGTATCTGCATTGAACATAAACCCCTATTGAATACAAAAAATCTGTATGAAAGCAACCCTGTTGAATGTACAAAAAAAAAAAAAAAAAAACTCTACGGAAGGAACAAAAGCTTTAAAGGAAAATGAAACAGAGATATACCTAATTGTTTTAAATTGTTAATAGTCATGGAGTTTAAATATAACAATGTTTAACAAATCCCGTGCGTTGATTTAGGATATGAGTAGTTTAGGATAACTTGGACTCTATTTGAACGTTCATTATCAGATTACTTATTTTAAGACGTTGTTGCACAAAGTTAAAATAAAGTTATCTTCTACGGATAAGATGTACCGTAATCACGGATAAATCTATTTTTTACTTCTAAATTAAGTGAGTTTTCAATTTCATATGAAGTAATATATTTTCATCCTGTATTAATATATATATAGATATATATGTATGTAGATTATATATATAGTGTGGAAGAAAGTAGATCCGCGCAAGTAACACATGCACTCAATATTGGCGACTCTAGCTAGTACTTTAGCTTCAATATTCAATTGCCCTTTATCAAAACGGTGATAAAATAAAAACACCAGTTTTGATGACAAGAATAGAATCCAACTGAATGTTGAAGCTAGCACCAAGTAAGTTTGAGAGTAACTCACCCATTGTGATAAAAACATGTCACTTTTTTTAGGAAAATAACTTAAGATCCCATAAGAAATCATTCCATCCGTCTCGAAATTATCGTTCAATTTAGATTTTCATTTAAATTCAAACTGCAAAAGTAAAGCAAAATAAGATGAGAACCACTGGTTTACCTCCCTCTATGGTTCGTAGGTTGTTATAGTGGGTGTAGATTTACCCATCTCTGGTAAGTTATCGGTGTTGGAAATGAGTTCAAAAATTTGAATGAGAATTTAGTTTCTCAAGTTGGAAAATGAGAGTTAAGCTAAGCGACTTTGTCCCACGTTGGAATTGGAAGGAGTTGGAGCTTACTTTATAAGTGAGAGTCCAAATACAGAGTGCAAGTTAACTTGCCATTATCATACTCTGTATCTCCCGCTCGCGTGCGCCCGTGCATGGGGTGCAAATGAGGGTCCGATTCGGGTCAAAATAGTTTGACACATGTGTGCGTGTGCGTGTGACTTGCGGACACGAATGTCGAACGGAATTCTCACGGGTCTGATCAAACCACGTTTATGCTCATTCATTTCAGTCAAAACAAAATTAAAACGTCGCAATTGATTTATAATCTTGAATGAGCATAATGAATTGGCAGTTTTAATTCTATTAAAAGGCAGAAATGAATTTGTTTGACTGTTTGGATGGTCAAAAACATTTTGACTGTTTATGTGCTATGAATTTGTGCCATTTAACAGAATTAAAACACTAAAAACTGTTAGAAATTTTGCTGTCATTTCAAAAGTTTCTCTAAATTCTAGTTTGTTTATAGAGTTACTTTGTGCTAAGTAGTCTTTACATTTCTGTTGTATCTTGGGAAATAGTTGCTCAAGGTTTTCAAGTACCTTAAGAGAAGACAAATCTATTTTAAGAAGATCATGTTTTCACGAATCTCGAATTTTTTTGTATTCATATTTTCTTAGTCTTTGTGAATACTACTCATCTTCCGACCAACAATCGGTATTAGCAAAAAAATAAATAAATACATAAGCACCATAAACATTGTAGTTTAAGCTAGGAGCGTCCAAATAACTTAATAACAGTATTTTATGATTTTTTTAAATCCAATAAAGAAGAAAGTTTCAGAAGTACATGCTTTAACCCACAGTATCACAATTAAGTTCAAATAGTAAAGCAACACAAATTACTCTCCCAAAAAAAACAAAAGAGAGAGGGAGAGATTAAACTAAAAATCGCATGGCAGTCCAAACCTCTGCACTCAAAATTTATATCTTTTGCTAGCAATGAATGAATTTATGTTGCTGCACCCAATTTTCTTAATTTGTCCTCCTTTCGTCCCACAATCTCGGATGTGCGTATTATCTCAAGGGGTTCAAACAGAATAATGAGTGATGCGGATGATATCCTCAGCTCTGGCTGGTGTATGAGTCATGCTCTTCCTTCTCATATCCTGGTACTCCTTATAGAAAAACCCTTTGTATTTTGCTGGCTCTCCAATCTCTTTAGTAAATGGTGGCAATGGTTCAACCCATTTGTCTCCATGTAAACTGTAGAAAAAGGCCAAGGAATGCCTACTTCTTCCTTTCGGCCTCACAACTCTATGAGTAGCACTTTTAAATTTAGTGTTACTTAGTACCTGCAACAATTGAATCAAGGGTAAGAGTTGCAATGAGAGAACCTAAAAAGAACGAAAATACACCCAACCGTCCTCATTATTATAAGGCATTGTTTTGTCCTGTATTTTACTTTGCATATTTTTCTAATTAAACAAAAAAAAAATGTAAAAATACGTTTTCACATTCAATGTGTTCTCTTGATTTTTAGAAATATTTTTAATATTTTTTTCAATAAAAAAAAATATTTTTTGGACCAATATTTTTTCAATAAAAAAAATATTAGGTGAAATTTTGGACCAATCAAAATATCTTATAATAAAGATCGGAAGAGTAGTCGTCAACCTTTTATTATAGTTCCATCAAGAAAAATCAATACAAATATGCGATATCAATATTGGAAATCTTTTTTTAAAAAAAAACCCCAAAAATTTTCTTTTAGTACGTAGTTGTATAATTCCCTGCGAGAGTTAGAATGAATATGAATCTTCTGTACCTGAATGACATCGCCTATATTCACAACAATTTTGCCCGGTTCAGGGACGACGGGAATCCATTGACCATCCTTTCGAACTTCAAGACCGCCGGCTTCATCTTGAACCACAAAACTAATGCAGTTTACATCTTCGTGTTCAAGTAGTCCAGTATCTTCCATTTCAGTTGCTGGAAAATAATGAAAGGCCACCAAAAGATCCCAGCTCCTATCATGATTAAATTCTTTGAGAAAGTTGGGAGGGAGACCAAGGCAATCATTTATGATGCTCTCCAATATTTGACTAGTCTTGGAGAGATAGCTGAACAGCTCTTCCAGGGATTCCCTGCACATATATTTGATACAATCCAATGTGGTCAGCATTATCGAGTAACCAAAAAATTTTACCATAATTCTCTTTATCACTAACTAAACTTTTATACTCCCTCGGTCTCGAAATTATTGTCCAGTCTGGATTTTCAGTTTTAATACAAATTGAACTAAAAGTGGAAATCTAATCTAGATAATAATTTTGGGACAGAGAGAGTAGCCTATATAAATATGTGGTTTAAAGCTGTTAATACTAAAAATGTTTAAACCCAAGTCACTAATAGCTAGCTAGCCCAAAAATCCTTAGCTTAATTAAAGGTTGCACCCGCCCTTTGTTATTTAATTCACTGTCCATGTAAATTTACCCTGAAATTAATAATCATCGATCCATTTTTTCCAAATGTACTTGTTGGAACAACATGATAGAGCAACAAAACATTCATGCAGATTGAGCAGAAATGATAGTATTGGAGAGAAGGGTTAAAACTTTAAAGTACTTGAATTCAGGTGGATTTGTGGGCAGCAAATTGTGGCCGGTGTCAGCAGAAAACATAACAAGATACTCATTCTTATTCGGCGAGACCTCCGGCTGCTTGCTATAACCCGCCGGAAGAAGTGCGCCGGCTTTAGGGCTGCATTTGAGCTTCTCTTCATCTGGAAAAGTGAAATATATCTTCGAAAGTTCCATTGTTTTGTTGAGCAGATGTAAAGGCACCCCATGATTCACAACCTGGAAAAATCCATATTCAGAACATGCTTCGATAATCATTTCTGCAACTTTCTTCTTGCTCTTGTCTTCATCATCATCAACTAGGTTGAAGAAAGGAGAAAGATCAATGGTTGGAATTTCTGAGTTGGTGGCCATTCGATTAATGGGGACTGTTGTTTTGTGTGTGGCTCTTTTTTCCTCATTCACCATGGCATATTATAGTAATCATTAGTACCTTCACGACAAAATGTCTAAAGCGTAATTTCGTTAAATAATGGAGCTAAGGATATAATTAACGATTTGTTTCGACAATGCTTTGACATTTGTTTGCTTTCGTGCTATAAGATGCCCTTCCTTTTTCTTTGATTTTTTAACAAGATTCCCTTTTTACTGAATACCTATTTTTTTCCCCCCATATTTGTGTGTTTCCAACTCATAACAATAGTTCTGTTTTCTTGCAAATATTTTAATTGTAGATATACATCTCTAACTACTTCCTCCGACCTTTAAAAAAAAAAGTTCATATTTATTTTCTAAATGTGTACTAAAACAAGTACAAATTTGAGTATTTAGTACAAATTTAATAATTCAATATAGACTTTTTTAAAAAAAATAAAGGAAGTATTTTTTTTTGGGTTGTTGTTTTTTTTTTTTTTTGTTTTTGTTTTTGTCATTTGTGGGTACAAGAACATGTTGGGAAAAGGTCGCGCCATATCAAATAATCGGTAAAATTTAGGAATACATAGACATAATGTTTCACATTGGTGAAAGAAAAAAGTGATGGCAAGAGGAATAAGAGAACCTAACAAGAAATTATACCATAATGTATGTGAAGGTCCATATAAATTTATACGTGATTTCATTTTAAAATCAATTAATAATATGAGCAATAATGCATGGGACTTATATATTGGTCAATGTAAAAATTACAAATGAACTCACAGTCTATGTTTAAGTCCATTTCAACACCCCATGCCAAGCCCAAGCCCAACAGGCTTGCATACCCCTTGTTTAATACCAACACTCTCTCTCAAGTTTAATAACCTTGAACAATCCATGAACGACTATGTGACACATACAAACCCTGCAGCAGATCATTGCCCAATTGGGTGGGTAAAACTCCACATACCGGTCAAAGCCTAATCGGGTTGGTCAAAATACAAATATATCACTGGGTCAGTCAAAATCCACTCTGCAATTCGCGGGCCAAAACCCAATCTCCTATTATCTTGAAGGTACATATAAATTCATATATAATTTCACCTCAAAACTAATTGGTAATGAGAGAAGTAACACGTAAGATTGTATAAGCTAATGTAACTAATAATTCTAATGTGAGACCAAAGAACACACTCTTCGTTTAACACTTCAACTCATGCAAGTTAAAGGTACTAGTATGATTTGAGAATCACTTCCGACGTGCATTAGCTAGATGATTATCGTAAATTTTTGTCCTTATTAAAGTTCGGGATATAGACAAAGTCATTTCTAAGTTATGTGCTAAAGACTAATTGCCCCTCGAATTTTTTTATAAAGAAAAAAACTCTTGTGACCGTCATAAGTTTGAGGTCTATGATCCATGGGTATCAAATGACTAAAAGACCATCATAGTTATGACTATATTTTTAATGGAAAAATTCATAAATTGAATTAACAATTATTCTTATAACTTGCCTATAATTTTTAAAGTATAAAGATACAATCGCTCCAAACTATATTCATATCTCTAATAATCGTGATTACATCATCATTTTCAGTGTCTATAACAAAATGGTAAGCTTTTATGTCCATAAATTTTGAGTTGTACAGTATATATATGAAAAAATTATTATGTAGATAAAAAAAAATAATTACTGCAACTTACACAACTAGTTATAAATAGTAAAAATTGTCAAATAAAAAAAAAGAAAAGAACAAAGATATACAGAGATCAATCATACTTGAAAATATGTTGATTATCAATAATTACATATAATGGTGGTCAAATTGCCTTTCCTTGAAAAAAAAGATAAGCATATATGAAAGATCAATTATAAAATAGATATTTTCAAAGTTCAAAATTTTAAATAGAAGGTTTATAACATTGTGAATATTCTTATCAATTGCATGAATTATGGAGATTTATTGTCGAATAAAAGAGTATTTGTCGAAGTGGTAGCCATTTCTGAAATTTTGAGTTATAACAAAACGGAAAAACAACATTAATTATTATCAAATTTTAGTCACGAGGGTTATAGTTCTCTAAAAAATCTCAAATGGGCATTCGGGTTTTAGGCATAGCTTGGAGGTTTTTATCATTTTTTTTAAAAAAAAAATCTTAAAAAGGTATTTTTGTCATTTTAATTTCTTTTATAAATCCGCAATCAGCCATTATTCTCGAAAAGGGTTAAACTGTCTCTTTGGACATATTTTTGTGATTTTTTGTCCTTTTGATTTTAAACATATTTTATAATAATTAGAAAAATATAATAAATATGAAAATACTTTTAAGGTTTAATTTTCAATTGGAAGAACGCGATAATAAGACCTATGAGAAATCAGAACTATTATATAATAATAACCGGAAGGAATACTTAATTAAAAGTAGCGAAAATGCTTCCCATTTTCTTTTCTTTTTTTCTCAGAAAGCGATAATCATGATTTTACAAAAAGAAACAGGGGATACAAGCATACTTTATCGCACTATTACAATCATTTTTTAAGGCTTCATTCAGCCACAACAGAGGGGATGCATCCTAACTCGATTTGGCACTAGAAAGAACCCAATTAGGTAAGAAAAGTTTAGATCTATTTACTAATAAACATCAATTCATAATCAACAAAATAAGATGATGTTGGCAGTAAGATGTCATCAACTATTGCCATTACTTCCGAAGTGGGTATTATTTCCCCCGTTAACATCCCAAAATAGTTTTTTCATCTATCTTCACGTCAATCTGTTGGAAATAAAGCCAAGTTATAAGAGTGAATGAAAAATTGGTTTCTTATGTGATTGGACTTGTCAAATGTGATTTGAGTGTAGGTACCCTACAAAGCACCGGACTTTAACTCGCAAACATGATCAACCAATGTTTTACCAATGGTTTCATTTTTCTAATCAATTGTATGGAGAGTTATGGAAAAGTAAATTGGAATATTAAACAGACAATTCATTTCCCAAACTTGAAACTTTTTTACATTAATCTCTACTTTTATTTTTATTAATTGGAGAATGAATAGCTGCATTTAATCCAATTAAATTGACAGCCATGGTTTTGTTTCTTCTCCTCCTTATAGATAAAGGCTAACTTCCAAAATTCCAAAGAGATAAAAAAAAAAAACATGATCCAACTTTCTTCATTCTTCCATTAGCCAAATTCTTGTAACCTTTCTTTGGTATTTATCAAAGTCATGGTTCCAGTTCGCCGGTGATCTAGTCTTGCACTACGTTATCTGTTGTATCCTGGGAGACAGACGCTCTTCTATCTTCTAGCACTCTATGAGAGGGTGCGAATCTGTTTAAGGAAAATATGTTTTTGATGTGTCTCGGAATATCTTCTTTCTTATATTGTCATTGCTATCACAAATACATTCATTTATGTTTACCAACAATCTTAAATCAGACGAAAATAAGAATTTCAATAACATAAAGAAAATAAAGAGAGAAATATCTAAAGGCTACATTGTGATTGATTGACTGGATACAATATTCATATGAGTGGCTCGTTATTTATAGGAGAGCTTTTTTACAACAACCTTACAAGATAAGGCTAAACTATTTTAAGTAACTATTGGAAGCAATCAATCCCTGGGATTACGAGATACTCTAGGAATTCTTGATAGTCAAACATAGCTCATCATTGATGAGTGTGATCAGCCTTGTTTTGGAAATGATATGATCTCAATCTTGAGAGATTCTGTTAACATCCCCCCTCAAACTGAGTCGGGGCTGGAGACTCAGTTTGGTTCGAGTGTATTGATGGCTTCTCATCTTCATGCGGCGGTGAAAAACCTTCTTGTAGTCCATTGATTCTAGCTATGTTTTGGACAAAAAAAAGGCTTGAATTTATTGTTAGATTTTGTATGATGAGTCAAAAACTCTTCTTTTATGAGAAGATAAGACTTTTGCCATAATGGAGATTTTGTGGATTGACTCAGAGGTGACTTTCCTCGTTGTCTGAAATTTATGGATCAACTAAAGTTGATTTATGAGAAAAAAAAACACAAAGTCTAGGGTAGAAGACTTTGTTTTGTATTGATTGAATGATTTGTAGGTTTTGTGGACATTGTTGGGGGAATCAAACAAGAGTTTGGGATTAGCAGTAGAAAAAAAAAAAAGAGTGATTTGGGATGAATTTGGAATTGAAACATGATACAATTGTAAATTTTTATGACTGAACTAATCATGATTTTATTTGTTGAAAGAAGAAAAAAAAAATACGCGGAAGCATGGCATAGAAGCAGGATGAACCTGCTTTGAAACCAAGAAGAAAATAAGAATTTGAATAACATAAAGAAAATAAAGAGAGAAATATCTAAAGGCTACATTGTGATTGATTGACTGGATACAATATTCATATGAGTAGCTCGTTATTTATAGGAGAGCTTTTTTACAACAACCTTACAAGATAAGGCTAAACTATTTTAAGTAACTATTGGAAGCAATCAATCCCCGGAATTACGAGATACTCTAGGAATTCTTGATAGCCAAACATATCTCATCATTGATGAGTGTGATCAGTCTTATTTTAGAAATGACATGATCTCGATCTTGAGAAATTCTGTTAACAAAATCAGATTCGTGATGTGTTTGTGATAGAATTCAGGTGATCCTTTGTATGGTGCAAAGAATACAAGAAGAGTTTCAACTTCCATGAAATAGATGAAAGCCAAAATCCGCCTGGGAAAATGATAAAGGAGAAGATGGTGTTCAGTCGTCGACCTTACTGTTGATGTTATTTCCGTTGACGAACCAATCGACAAAGCAAGCCAGAAAGGATTCAAGATGGCTGTCGACTATGTTGCCGGGTGACGAAAAGATCAACGAAGCAAGCTTGAAAGGCTACAGAGAGCTGTCGACGTCTTTGTTGGTCAACAAAATGATCGACAGAAAACGGGCAGAAATTTTTCTTTGAAACTGTTGATATTTTTCTTTCATCATGCATGGATATAGAAAGGAGATCAAATGGTTGATCATGGAAAATTCTGGATACAAATGAGTGTGTTGGAGAGGATTTGCACGTTTCTTTATCAGACATAAATCAAGTGAG